TCAACACAACTTGATTGATTGAACGTTTCATACAGCCTCTAGCCGAAGCCGTAGCATAGGCCTAGGCCTAGCTAGCTAAGCTAGGCCAGACCAGTGGCTGCTAGGCCTAGGCCTACCTACTAGGCTAGTAGGACGGCGGTGCAGCAGCTGATGATGCAGAGTTCGATAGAAAAAGGTAAGATAAGAATACTATACAACCATACTAATGTAATAAAAAAATAATACAAAGCCAGGGCAGACTGAGACTGAGCCTACCCTATCATTTACCCTACATTCTACTAGGCCTAGGCCTAGTTACTACTAATATAGGCCTAGGCCAGGCATAGCTAATTTAGGCCTATTGCTGTCTGTCTGTCGGCCTAGGAGGCCTAGCCTAGTAGTAGTGCTAGTAGGAGTACTAGTTTTTAGGGCCTAGCCCTATGCTCAGGAGGGCCTAGGCCCCTAGTTACCTACTCTACTACTACTAGGTTAGGCTAGGGCATAGGCCTAGGCCCTGCCAATTATTATTATTATTTATTTTTTTTTCGATTTTTTTAACTTTTAATTACTATACATAAATTGTTTTGTCTCATATTTTGTCCAATGTATTTTAAAGTTTTATTTATTTGAATGTCTGCTGCTTTGATAATGTTAACCCATTTTATTATTGAATTTCTTCGTATGTATGTTGTTATAATATTAGGCCTATTAGTATTACTATAATAATAATAATATTATTATTGTTATTATTATCATTTTGGTTTATTGCCGTTTTGACTTATTGCCATTTTGATCGATTGCCGTTCTGGTAAAAAAGTGTTGCCGTTTTGACTTACTGCCATTTTGGTTTATTGCTGTTTTGACTAGAAAGCCACCTTCTTAAAAATTTATTGTCCTTTTTATAATTTGCAATGTACTGTATTACAATCATTTTATGTCTTTTATTCAACAGAACATGGTAGAGTAGTGGAAAGTACCTAAATGAAGATGAAAAAAAAAAACAGATAATGATGGACAGGTAAGTTGATCTGATAAGTTATTGTTAGTATTGTTATCA